AAAAACAAACAAACAACCACCTTGTGAACGTTAAGGTTCACCAACAGGAGTTGGTAAGAGCATTGGAGTCCTAAGAGCATTGGCAGAATTTCATTGAGTTCAGACTGTATCCCAAATAATGAACTAATGAACATCTGTTCCTTGCTTGCCAGGCACCTGTCACCTATGATGCCGTGATGGAGATGGAGTATGTGGACATGGTGGTGAACGAGGTTCTCAGGCTGTACCCCATTGCTGGCCGACTTGAGAGGGCCTGTAAGGCAGATGTGGAAATCAGCGGAGTGGTTATTCCCAAAAACACCGTGGTGATGGTACCAACTTACGCTCTTCAACGGGACGCCAAGTACTGGCCAGAGCCTGAGGAATTCCGCCCTGAGAGGTAAGTGGGGCAAGAAAGATGCCTTCCCAGATGGGGGTCACTTCCAGCACCTGTGTGGTCCCTTAACACAGAGGGCATAGTGTTCTTGTTCAATGATTTGCACAAATGTGTTTATCTTTAGCAATTTTTTTTTTTTTTGTTCATGGGGCTTGAACTCTGGGCCTAGGCACTGTCCTTCAGCTCTTCAGCTCAAGGCGAGCGCTCTACCACTTGAGCTACAGCGCCACTTTGGGTTTTCTAGTGGTTAATTGGAGATAAGAGTATCACTGACTTTTCTGCCTGGGCTGGCTTTGAAGGGTGATCCTCAGATCTCAGCCTCCTCAGTAGCTAGGATTACAGGCGTGAGCCACAGGCACCTGGCTTTCAGCAATTTTTTTTTTTATATTACAAGCATGACAAATGGACAAAATTGTAAAAATGGACTGAAAAAAAGGATACAAATCCCAAGTCTAGAAGTAATCATTTGTCAGTGATAGGGTATACTTCTATGCATGTAATTGTACTGGATTTTATTTTATTTTATTTTTTCTTGTTGTCTTGTCAGTCATGGTGCTTGAACTCAGGACCTGGCACTGTTCCTGAGCTCTTTTGTGCTCAAGGCTAGTGCTCTACCACTTTGAGCCATAGAACGACTTCTGGTTTTCTGGTGGTTAATTGGAGATAAGAATCTCTTGGATTTTCCTGCCAGGGCTGGCTTTGAACTGTGTTCCTCAAATCTCAACCTTCTGAATAGCTAGGATGACAGTCATGATTCTCCAGCACCCAGCTGGGTGTTAATTTTAAAGGACAGATTGATTGATTTCAGTCACTTGTGGCTCAAAACCCTTTGCAAAATATGAAACAGTATCAGATATATACAGCAGTATTGAATATATTCCAAACAGTTAAATATAAGAATTATGCTGAATTTATATTTTAGGCGTACCTATAATATAATAATGTAGAGATGTTTTAAAGTATATGCTAGGTTATATTTAAGTCTTTTGCAAATAGTCTGCCATTTCTTTTTGTTTTTGGTAGGCAGAACTTGAGTATTTATAATCTACTGGTACATGACTGTTGTTCAGTTGAATTGTGATTTTTTGTACATTTTTTATTGTAAAAGATACTGTACAGAGCAGTTATGGTTACATAAGCAAGGTAACGAGGACATTTCTTATTGAGCATTGTTGCCTCCTCCTTTGTTTTCCCTGTACCATCCCTTCTCTCCCCTCACCTGCCTGCTCCCTCCCTCCCCCGCCGAAGTTGTAAAGTTTGTTTTCATGTTATAAATTCTTATCAGGGCCTTGAGCATCTATGGATTATGTTTTGTTTGGATGTTGCAACTAATCCTGCATAGACAGGCCAAAGTGTGTGTGTGTGTGTGTGTGTGTGTGTGTGTGTGTGTGTGTGTGTGTGTGAATGCTCGTGGGTGACAGGTGGGTGTCTATGAAGATTTAGGATGACTGTATGCATCTGCCATCATTTATTCTATACTCTCTGCATTTAGATGTTTTGGATTTTTATTCCCTTTGGTTTTGTGTGCCATCCCTTTTAGCTGTCTAAATTTACGACACCACCATATTTTGGGAAACATAGTTGTCTTGCACTGATTAGTCATTGGTCCTTGACCCTCCAGGGTGAGCACTGAAATGCAGACTGAGGACCTGAGATGTCTTGGGCCTGATGGTTCAGGAAACCTCGCTGAGGCCAGAGCAGACTGTGGGTCCTCATGGCCCCATGTGTGGCTGCTATCCTGGGGCAGCCCCTGAATCATCCTTCCTCTGGTGTTGATTGAGCAAGCTCTCCTGGAACTGTGGAGCTAAGGGCAGGCTTTGGGTTCAGTGTACAATCTAGAAATAGTTTCATTGTTCTATTGGTAAACAATTTTAAAATGGGATTTTAAAATCAGAAGATGTGTGATCTTGATCTCAATTGTCCCTGAACTGGGGTCTTCCTGGTGGCAGAGGCCTTGTCTTTTGGGCTGTGCTGTCTCTAGAGCCTGCATGAAGTATGCCCCTTGCTCTGGTTGAAGGAGCGAGAAGCAATCAAAGTGCAGATCAGAGAACCCTCCGTTCACAACTGCAGTATGTTGCTTGTAATCACACCACTTTTATGTCCCCACATATAGAAAACTTCTAGGGTCAGGGGATAGGAAAAGATGTATAGCTTACAATTCTTTCCTTTTGTTGGTTAGACATTTAAAAAATACAATTTCATTGTTGTTACTAAGGTGTTGTATAGCAGGGCTACCATTTCCTAAGTCAGATAATGAGTACATTTCTGTTATTGTTGATGATGGTGTTAATGGTATTTGTTTTTGCCTGTGGCTTAAAAAGTTTTTTTTTAGAGGCAGTGCAGAAAGGGAGGGAGGAAAGATGAACTAATACAAACATGCTCTTCAGTATACATTATAACTTGGAGTTCTTACAGCAAAACCACAGTAGGAGCCTGGTGCTGGTGTCTCACACTTACAATCCTAGCTACTCAGGAGGCTGATATTTGCAGATCATGGTTCAAAGCCAGCCTTGGCAGGAAAAGTCCCCATGATAGTCTTATCTTCAATGAACCATCAGAAAAGCAGAAGTGGCACTGTGGCTGAAAGTGGTAGAACACTAGCTTTGAGCTGAAGATTTCTGGGACAGTGCCAAGGTCCTGAATTCAAGCTCCACAATTGACAAAAAATAAAACTAAACCATAGCAGGATTTCATTGGCCAATACTATCTAGTACTGTTTAGGGATATCCGAAGTTCAGCCACAAATAGCTGGGTTCTTGAGATGTTCATGTTTTCCCCACTTTTGTTGCTTCAGGTTCAGCAAGAAGAACAAGGAAAGCATCAATCCTTACATCTACATGCCCTTTGGAGCTGGGCCCAGAAACTGCATCGGCATGAGGTTCGCTCTCATGAACATCAAACTTGCTCTTGTCAGACTCATGCAGAATTTCTCCTTCCAACCTTGTAAGGAGACCCAGGTCAGTATACTTCCTAGGTAAATAATACTTCATGACATTTGTTC